GTGATGACCCATCCAGTGGGGTGCAGGACGAGTGTGTGTGTCGGTGTGTGTTTGTGGGTGAGGGAGAACGGACGAAATGTTTCCACTGTAGTCTTCAGTCTCTTTTGGCCCAGTTGAGGATGCAGGACACTGGAAGTAGAAAAACAGAAAAATGTTGGACAAACAGCTGTTTATAAGGTGGAACTAGGAAATACAAACAGTTAAGGTGTTTTCGGTGGAAGGAAATGTAGTAAATAAGCTATAAATAGATTATTTACTCCAGACCTCGTGAACTGTGGGAGGACCAAAAGCAGAAACATATCAATAGCCCAATAATTAAATAAATACACTAATAATGCATTAATCTCTGCATCTAACTTGTTAAAATCTGCTGTACTCTTTTCCCCCACATTTAACGTTCATCATCATCGTCTCACCGAGGTGACAACAGTGCCYTCACACAAAAATCTTGGCAAGTGCGTCTGCGCCGGCGCTGGCGATGAAGGGTTGGGAGGAGTGGAAGGCCACGTCGTGAATGGCCTCGTCGTGCTTCTTCCTGTGGGCGGTGATTTCCTGCACGCACGTCCTGTTGTCCAGCATCCACAGGCGCACGGAGCAGTCGTGGCCTGCAGGAGGAAAACGAAAAATCACTGTGGAGTTAAAAACAAATTCTCCCAATATTGTTTTTTTAAGTCGTAGTTAAAGCAAATCTTCTGTGCTGAAGGGCTATATAGCTTTTTTTAAACAAATTTATTCATTTCATTTAAAAACAAAACAAATGCCATACATACAACAAATAATAATACAACACAAATAAAATGAAAGGTAGCAGAAAGAAGAAAAAAATTCTTATTGATATCTGCCCTTTTTTAAATAAATAGAAACAATAATAGTCTTCAAACAACAAAACGTAACAAAAACTTCAATTCCTTCTCGAACATCGGTTCTTATGAATGTACACTACACAAATTCATATCTCCTCAACAATCTAACTTTCATCATTCTCTTAAATAAATTTATTGAGCCAGCATTTTTATAATCACTTTCCAGATTGTTCCACAATCTTATTCCTTGGACCGAAGTACATCGAGCCTTCAATTTTTTTCGGATTTTAGGCTTTACAACCATCTCTGTACACTTAAGGTTATAATTACTTGCTCTCTTAACAAAATTTAATTGAATATTTAGAGGTAATAAATTTTTATGAGCTTTTTACATAACCTTCAAAATATTATGATCAACCAGTTCATAAAATTTCAATAATTTCAACTGACAAAATAATATATTTGATGGGTGACTGTAATGTTTTCTGGTGATAATTCTTACAGCTCTTTTCTGTAAAATAAAAATGGGATTTGTAATTGTTTCACATGCTTTCCCCCAGACCTCAACACAGTAAATCGAATGTGGAAAAATTATTGCATTATATAACATAAACAAAGCTTTGTCATTAAGTAGCTCATAAGCTTTTGATTGTTTCTCCATCTCCAGCTTCTACCACTMATCTGTAGTTGCCCCAATCCGTCCATCCCACTATTACTTGTAAACAAGATGCCCAGATACCCGGATGTGTTTATTCTAGAGCAGGTTGAATATTAAGACGTAGAGTAAAAGTAATACTCACTGCCAGAGATGAGGTAAGTGCCTTTTGGGTCTGTAGTAAGACAGGTGACAGCATCTAAGTGAGCCACCATCGAGTGGACGACTTTACCTGCACAACCACACAACCAACATCAATTAGATCCAAATCGAAACTAAAGAGTCTGCAGAGGAGAGAAGCAGTGGATTCAGACAGAATCATCTGAGCAGATACCCGTCTTGTTGTCGAGGAAGCGGATGGTGCGGTTCTCGTGTGCCGTGATGGAGACCGGCTCAGTCGGGTGGCTGACGACACGGTTGATCAGCTCGCTGCCTGCATGGAATCCCAACCATTCAAGGTTTAACCAACTCAGCTGATGTTCGGACCTGAACATTAAAGTCAAACGTACCGTCTTTTGTCTGCGTCTCCAGCGTGATGACGRTCTGCTCCGTGTTGAGGTCGTACAGCAGCGTCTCACCGCCGTCGAAGGACACCACCACCTGGTTTGGGTCCGTGGTCACGAAGGCCACTGAGGTGGGCGTCCCGTGTTCTGGGAAAAGGTGATACTTCTCGCTAATCGCTTTTAAAAACATTTTGTTTTCGTTTTTATTAAAAAACCTACATTTTGATTTCTTTTATTGTGGTAAGACACTCTACAAATGGCTACCTCTCTCCTTGTTGAAGACGGACACGCAGGGAGACGAGTTCTGAGGGTCCCAGATGCGGATGGTGCCGTCGGCTGAGCACGAGGCGAGACGATGGTGAACCGCTGAGTAAGTCAGACCCCAAACGCTGTCCTCATGTCCTTCTAACACGCTGCTCTGAACACCAGGATCTGCCAGGAGACATCATCGACTGCCATCAGTAGAAATTAGCCACTTTCTCTTTTCAGTTTAATGATCCATGTGTGATAAATAAACTGAAGCTTAACAACTAACTCCCCTTTAAGTTTTATAAAGGTAAATTATAAAATTTTTACATCTGTTCCATTATGCTTATTCCCTGAAATCTACAAAAAGTATGAAACTGTGGAGCATTAACTATATAACGACTCTTTTCTAATCATCTGTAATCTAATCAGAAAAAATACGTCCAGTCTTTAAGGTGCATTCTCCTAAATGGACAGCAGGGGGAGCCTTCTTGTTGCAAAAAGAATCCATCCTGTAATTTATGAGGACATGACCAGTTCAGTGGATTTGTTGCCCAATTTTCTAATTGATTTAATCCTTATATTCAAGTTTTCATTATMCAGGCTTATTAAAAACTAGTTACATCTGTTTTAGGACTGTATAAATCATGGACTATTAGGCTTACCGTAGTTATCGTAGGGATCCACATTAAGGTCGGGCATCTTCCAACATCTAACAGTTCCGTCCAAGCCTCCGCTGTAGCAGGATTCTCCGTCCTCACTCGTGGTCAATGAAAGAACAGCTCCGCTACACAAAGAGAGAAAGACTTCAGTAAAGTAGGTCACCAATCAGCATGCAAGCTGTGAACAGATATGTCTGAGCATGAACTCACCTGTGAGCCCTAAATGTGTAGATGGGCTCGACYTCCAAAGCTGCGTTCCTGTGGAGCGACACAGACTCAAACGTTAGCTTCATTTAGCTTCCTCTCTGCTTTCTTTCAGCGRYAGCYGGACCCTTACTTTTTTGAGTGCATGGCCTTGTTGAGGTTCCACAGTTTTAGCGTACCATCCTCGGACGCCGTGAGCAGCACGGCCTGGCTGGGGTGAAAGGTCAGAGCGCGGATGGCGTCGAAGTGGCTGCGCAGTGTGAAACGAGGGTTCCACGTCTTCTTGAAATCCTCTCTGTTGTCCTGCATCTGTCACACCGAAACACACRGGTGAACATTTACGGCCATTAGCGTGTGTCGTGAGTGCTGACTACYTCGTTACTTACATCGATGGAGAGATCGTTGTCGTTGGCCACGGTGAGATCAGCCAGCTCCCCGAGGTTCATGTCCCCTCCGCCYACAGCGTCCATTATGAAGACATCAGAGGAAAACCCAAGAGCTCCACCTGCAGGTGGAAGGTGGAAAAGCACAAAGCGTTGTCTGGAAATAAGTTAAGCTTTTTTTTTTATAAAGTGTCAGTTTAGAAATCAGTGTCTTTTTATCCTAGAGCCTCACTCCCACACAACCAGAGATAATATTTACAGGTGTGGGAGGGTTGCAAGTCCCCCCCACCACACACACACACACATACACGCTTTGTGAGTGAGCAAACTGAGGCGGCATCTAAATTTGAGTTGTGGGGGTCTAAGCTACAATTGTGTGTGTGGGAGTGTAATGGTAAAAATATACATGGGAAAGATATTTAAAAAATAAAAGCATTAAATGTGCAGGTCTTACCTTCCCCGGAGCGAGCCTGTCCTGATATAGACGGGGGAGGAGAAGGTTTAGAAGGGAAGTCCGACATTATGCCTTGTAACTTGTTCCTGCGATTCTCTGAAGCCGGCAAGAGGAGAGAAACAAAACATCCAGTCATGACGAGAGGAGGAGGAGGAGGAAGGATGGAGAGGCCCACTTATGGACAGATGAAACAAATGTAGGCAGGAAACAAAAAAAGGCAAGAATGCATTCCTTCAACTTGATCATCGGATGTTCTAAAATGATTTAAACTGAACCTAAATGTGAAGGGGTGTAACGTCTAAGAGCTGAAGTGTAATAACGAATCAAAGAATGAAATGTGAGGAAATGGGAGAAGGCAGCATGCGTGGTAACCTTTGAAATGAGCCAGAGCAGGAACATACAGAGTAGGGATGACAGCCACAGAGCTCTACAGACTCACAGAGTGACAGCTCATGAAACAGGACAGAGAGACAGGTGGTTGGGAAAAAGACGTTGGTTTTTATTGACATGAAACAAAACAAAAACAAAAAGAAAACACAAGAACACGTCAAATGTATAAAGGTGAGCGTGGGCAGGCACAAAAACAGACACAGTTTGCTGGCAGCGTGTCTGACAGGGCTGCTGGTGTCTCTACGGCAGCGGCGTACCTAACTCCCGTCCGTCCCCTGAGATCCGGGCCTCTCCCGCCCCCTCCCCATCCTCCCCCGAGCCAAGAAAGTCAAACTCATTGAGGGCATCCTCCGAGTCGTCTTCGTCCTCCTCGTCCTCAGGGTCCAGGTCTGTGGTCATGGGCTCCGAGCTCATCTGGGCGGGAGGAAGACAGCGGAGAGAACATGGGACAGATTCACGTCATGACAAACCACTAATAAAGTGTGATTATGAAAGAAGTTTGCCTTCGCTGGACAGACCTTTACGCGGGACTTTTTGCTTTTACGCGGACCGTCGATACAGTCGGTGGCTATGCCTTGGAAGTCGTCTTCCTCGTCGCTGTCGTCTTCATCGTCATCCTCGCAGCCGTGAAGAAAGGGGATCTTATCGAGCACGGAGCTGCCGACACGGTCCTTGGAGCTCTCTTTGCCCGCGTTCCTATTAACACACACGCACAGGTTGTTGATTTTTTTAAACGTGTTATTGTGTACACTGGATGGCAGAATGGGTTCTCTTGACTGTAAGACAGGGGTCCCCAAACTTTTTCCTGTAAGGGCCACATAACTTTTCCCTTCTCTGGTGGGGGGCCGGAGTCAGTTTGTAACAGGAAAAGTGTGCAGGAGTGCCTAAATGTAAAAATTTATTGTTTTCCAGAAAGCACAATCAAATAACCCTCTCTGGGTTCTTCACAGTATGTATTCTGCGGAGCTAACAGTCCACCTTTTAGCTTTGAGAGTTTGTTTGCTCACATTTGGCCTTGCAAGCTATCATACTTGTCTTTGTGACGGGATTCATAGTGTCGCCGCAGAATGTATTCTTTGAATACCGCCACCGCCTATTTACAGATGAACAAAAAAAACAATTGTTTGTCCACTGCAGCTTAAATGCCCTGCATTCTGAATCAATTTTTCTCTTACCTAATCTTTTCACCATTATTTCATTCTCTCTTTGAGAGGGGCGGGTTTAGGATTTTTTTCTGGGGGTTGCCAGATAGGGGCACATCCCGCAGACAGGTGGAACAGAATGTCACGTTATATGTGTGTATGTATGAAATAGTTACTAACTAATAATAGTTAATAATGAAAATAGTTCATAACTAAGGAACATTTTATTGCAAAAGTCAAACTTTATAATCAAATATAAATACACATATATGAAAAAAAACTAAATGCTCTCTGGTATTGTTCTGGGGGCCGGACCAAATAGGGAAGCGGGCTGGATCCGGCCCGCGGACCGTAGTTTGGGAACCATTGCTGTAAGACTATAAAGCAATCAAATGTAAACAGTGCGGGCTTTCATGTGCAAACTCTAAAGTCTTAGAGCAAACAGTTAGAAGATGTCATATCTCAAAAGATGTCCTGCAGTTTACACACCCACAATGTCTCACACTACACACTGATGAAGGCCAGACAGAACACTCCTCTGCTGTTGCGTTGTGGCTTTCTGTGAAGCAAACTATGATCTGATGAGGTCATGTTTGACAATAGATAATCAAGTGTCTGCCACAAATTTCAATCAAGCTACGCCCATAAAATAGTTAAGATAATAATGTAGTAAAAAGTATTTTAAAAAACACCCCAACTAATTTTGCCACTGGGTTTAAAAGAAAGCAATCAAGCCTTGATTGCTGTAAAGACTTTCAGCTTTAATTCAAGGACTTACAGTATCAACCTCTCAGGAGTGATGTCACACATCAAGAACTACTATAAACATTCTGACGGTTTTGACAGTTTGATGTTAATTCTTTACCTGCAGTCTAAAATCCATGAATTTGATGAACTGTTTCCTGTCTCAAGATGCTCAGCCAGGCCTTTACTACAAGCCCTGTCACACTACAATGTTTTAGACAACTTGTTCCGACTTGTGAGAATTTATTCAACTACATATTTGATCTAATTGTTAGCACTACAGTGTGTATAGCTCCAAAAGAGGCTTCCAGTTGATCAAACATCATATAATTCCCTCATCAAACACATACCCAGAATGTTGCTTACATTACATATAAAACATACTGAGTGGCAACATACCACCTTGCTATATCGCAATGCATCGCAATTTAACAAATTGTGATATGTTAAATATGTCATATCACCAAATTCTTGCCTACACACAGCCCTAATATATACAGCATTTTCCTAACTGAAGGTGACAGACACATGCAATTATGGAATAGAATTTGTGTCTGTGTCTGTGCCTGGAACATATATAATATCCCCCCTTTAATAAGTTAAAAGTCTACTTGATTTATTTAATTTATAGATCAGTCAGTACACAAATATTACATTTCAGGCTTTTAGTTTTAGTTGTCGCGTGTTCTTGATCAGCCTCTTATTTACCGTCAAGGGCGTCCAGTTTTGCAGTGTTTGCCTGAATCAGATGAGAACTCCACACACTTCAGAAATCCTCATTATTTTTATTAGCACTGACGTGATGAGTAAACACAAGTGACTCAGTTTCTCAGTTTCACAGACAGCAACGGCTGCCAATTCTATCAAACTACTAGAACTGTCTGTTGTGTGTGTGTGTGTGTTTTTTTCTGAGCAGTAAAATGTGGATGCTGTTAGCGCCATCACTGCTGCACCTACTGTGTGTGTGAAATAACCTCAAAGCCTGTGTCTGCTTTTCCAGACTCACCTTTTAATTTGTTCCTCTATCTGTCGGACTAACAGGGACTCTCCGCCTGCTCGCGGCTCAGGCTCCTGACAGCTTTCACTGGGCGGGGGCCCGTTGGCCTCTGGGCTGCTCCGGCCCAGCAAGGAGCGCACACGTTTAGAGCGCATGTCCAGGATGGTGTCTGAGTAACCGACCTCCTCGAGATATCTACATTCACGTTAAAAAAAAAAGAAAAGAAAATCCATTTAAAGGAATGCTGTGACTTTAACACTAACGACACAATTCCAAGCTTCGTTTGTTTGGAACAGATTTAAAAGAATCAGATGACAGAGGACACTTACTTGCGTAGTAGTTGACGTCCCTCCTTCCAGGACATCTGATTGGCTGGCTCAACGTCTGCCTCGGCTGGTCCATTGGGAACTATGGAATAGTATCAAGCCATGAACAGGAAAAAAAATGCACATCTACAGAAGTAAAAGGTGCAATGTTATTAACGAAAAGTGTCCAAACAAGCTGTTAAAACCATACGTTGTTCTGCCTCCATCTCTGGCTTCTTGTCTCCAGGACTCTGGTCATTTCCTGTCTTCAGCTTCTGATGCTTTGCCCTGGATGTAAACATTTGATTTACAGAGACCCAAAAGATGCAAACAACTAATAAAATTCACACGTATACCAGGTAAGATGAGGACAAAAAAAAAACCTTTACCTTTCCTGTTTGAGGGCATACTCCAGCATTTTGATCCGTCTCACCAGGTCCTGTTTCATGTTCTCCTGTCCTTTCCTTTCACTCTGAAGGAATGCAACCTGAGCCTGAAACACACACAAACACAGGACGGTTCGTGAACACCGTTCATATTTTAGAAGGTATGCCACATTAACCATAACCTAAAAACAATTAAACTAAAACTGAATAAATATTAATACAAACTTAGAATTTGATGTGAATTTGTAAAGCTTTGAGAAGACTAAAGAGGACACAAAGCATTTTTAAGATCCTGCATTCCTTAAAGGAATCACCCTGTGCCTTTTAAGCCAACATTTGAAACTAAGATCATTTTATGCTTAGAAATTGAGTTGTATTTGTTTTAGTTTTATAAAAGACATGCTCCATCCTAATATTGTTAAATCTCACTAGGTAAGTTAGCAGAATTATCAGTAATTATTGTTTGACTACGGACAATTCRTTTGAGTTTCATTAAAATACATCCAGAGGTCCATGAGATATTTTGCTTATCCTAATGGGCATTCAAACACACACACACACACATAAAGACAATGACAAAAACATAACAAATAAAGCCAGTACACATATTTATTTTCTTGAAAGGTTTTGTCAGAAAAATGTAGTCCTCGATTTAACACAAAAGGTCATGYCAGCTAACTTCACGTGTTCCTAGTTGGATCTGAAACCAGTTTTTCATTGGCAATGATCTGCAGAGCTTTGAGGTTGGAAGGTGTCCATAACACCAGCTTTAAAACTGCTCCACAGATTTCTATAAAGACTCTGTGGACTCACAGGCTGCCAGGATCCAAATTCAGTTACCTTTTAGTTTTACATGATGTTTTAAAGTCAAAGTGAAAACGGAAGTCGTTCTGATGAATAAAAGTAATACTGATACCAACATGGTAAAAATGGTAAAATGGCACAAAGCCTGTCTTATGCAGTCTCATTAAATGCTGGACACTAAAATATTTAAAGTCAACTAAATTAGCAAAAAAAAGGGATTTTAAATGGGAAAAAAAACAAACTCTGATCAGACAAGCAGGCAAAAACTGACTGTTTAAAACCCAGACTAGTGAGCGAAGGTTTGAGGAACAAGGCTCTTATTTTGAACTTTTTTTTTTTTTTACAAACCAAAGCCTCAGTGCGCAGCTGCAGATGAGTAAAAACAAGGAACACAGGAGCCAAAGTCAAACACTCTCTTGTAAGACACATCCTTCCCCTTTCACTTCCTGTCTGCTTCCTTCCACCCTGCTGATAAAAACTTTTAACTTGAGGAAAGAGATTTTCTTCCTGCACTTTGTCACAACTTGTCAGAGTGTCTGTTGTGAATGACTCTCACCTACTATCATATCAAATTTTAGCTCGATATCRAACTACAGCCATTTAAAAGCAATTGAAACCATTTTTGTTTTAGCTGATGTGGATTAGCTGTAGCAGCCTGTTTGAACAGAGTTGACTATCAGCTGTAGATGTAATCTTGGTTTGTTGGTTTGTAGTTGTAGACCACACCAAAGTTCAGGTCCATAATTGTGAACTTGACTGAAATATATCCATTTTTTCTGTTTCTCAGATCAGTTTGCTTTGGTGCTCACATTTATTCACATTGCCTTCAAAAGCAAATKAGTTGTAAACATACATCAAATGATTATTTTGCTTAAGTTTAATTGAAATACATCCAGCGGCTCATGAAATATTTTGCTAACAGACAAATATGCAGAGATGGGGCAAAAACATTGTCATCCACCTTCGCCTTTCAACAACGGGCGATAAAAAACAATGTAGAAGTAGTTTAAAAAGCCTGACCCGGTTTCCACTCAGAGGATTTGCAAGCAGGTGACTGTCCAGTAGCTTTACAAAATTCCACTTTCTTTCTCTCTTGGTGCCAAGTGGTTGTGAAGCATTAACACAGCTTCAATTTTACAGCCCATTTCTCCTTCGCTCYCCCTAGTCTGTGTCCGCGAGTCTCCTCCCACACGAAAACGAAGCCCRGTGAAACTGGAACAGTCTTGAAAAATAAAAATWWAAAAAAAAWTWWAAAAAAATTGCCATCTCATGGGGCAGACGTTTGGCCTGCTTCTGAGCTCAGTCCTTAAGGAAAAGAGCACACAGACTCAGACATGTAATCTGTAAGGAGGGCCGGTGGYACGGGATAATCTGCCAAAGCAAAACCTTGATGCTGCGGAGTAATCCTGATTAATGCTATGTGATTTTATTTACTTATTTGGTAGCTGTGGAGATGCAATKATGGCGGCTCTGAATTAATTATGGTTTATAGTTGGTTTAGTTAAAGAGGAGCAGGTCGGTTTGAGAAAATGTATCTAAAGTCATATTCTGTGTTCGTCAAAAGCATGAGTCTTTAAGTGCATGTAAAAACTATTATGCAATTTACTTTAACTTCCTGTATTTATGTGGTTGACTTAAAGCATTTTAATTACAGGTTTCGTAACTGCCAATTCAATAATACRGTTTCCACATTTCACCAAGCAGATTAACACAATCAGACTTTAATGTTAAAGCAGAAACCAAAAACATCTGTACTGTTGGTGTACCTGGGCAGTACTGTGGCTGCAGAGGCACAGACAGAKGGAAAACAAGGGGTTTTATAGAATGGCATCAATGGACAGTAGGGCTGCTATTGCAATGGTGATAAATCCACATTTTCATCACTTCTCTCTTTCAGTTCTGTCATCTTGACACTCACAACACTCTACGTGTGCTTGAGCATCTCAGCGAAATCTGGTGTGAACACRAAGGGCAGAGAGAGTCCGTCTGATTGGCCGAACATATTGTTGGAATGAAGAACAAGAATGAATAGCAGTCAGTTTATAAAACTTTATGACCTAATGTGGTCTAAGCAGTAGGGGTGGGAATCTTTTACTCTGACGATTCGATTCAGATTTTTGGGGTCACGATTRGATTCAAAATCTATTTTTCACTCAAAACTCAATGTGAGCCCATTTGTCGTGCTCCTAAAGTGCTTCATCTTCATTTTTTCAAATTTTGCACACAGTGAAGCTCATGTCAAACTCACACTCATTCAGTAAAAAACAAAATGAGCCTAAATATTTGCATTCAGTAAAGACGGGGTCAGTTGAAACTCTCTTTGCACCAGTTTGGTAGTTTCCTCTTTGTTTTGGTGCTWTCTGTGCATGCATACATTTCAGAAACGGCTGCATGTGACGTCAGGACGTCCCAAGTGGTTACAAAATTGAGGTTGACAACCTTTGAATTTTTTTAATCAATTTTGGGACATTTTAAATCGATTCTGAATCTTTGTAAATGAGAATCACAATTCTGATGTAAAATGATTTTTTGGTGCACCCCTATGTTGTAGTTTCAGTGTCTTTTGAGATACTGAAACTACAACATCGTCATTGAGAAGRTCTAGAAAACTGTTAAAGGATAGAGGAGAAAAATCACATTAAAAGGGCAAGACAGCAAGTAAGTAGACACCAAAATGAGAGCAATCAAAAAGAGGAAGCATTWTTAATGTCACAAACTGTACCATTTCAGTTTTACCTCTAATTCTAATGACCAAAAGCGATGTTGTGACAGCTGGACATAAGACGGAAATCAACTTCTAACCACTTCTGATCACTGACGGATTGCGTAACGTGCAACTTCTGTCTCTCCACTTCACCCATAAAGAGAAGGGCYCACATTTTTACCCCCACACAGACGGGCTACAACCTGTCCTAACACACCGATAACCATCAGTCTCCTTTCTGCCAGACTCACACTCTGCACCTTGTTTTCATTGGCACAGACAACCTTCAGCCGCTCACGCTGCCTCGTTGGCCGAAGTAGAGACCATTAGGACCGTTTAAACAAAAAAATCTGAACACGCTTCTTTTTAATGATGAATAACAGGGAGCCATAAAGAAAAATATTTGAATGTCAAGAGGGTAATGCCTCTCCCCCTCATTCTATTTGTGGCTCACTTGTGTTTTTGGCTTTRGCATTCCTTCGCTTGCCTTTTCTTTCTGCTGTGGCAAAAATATTCCCACAGATTATTTTATTACCAACAGCAACGAAATTTAATGCCAGATCGTTTCTTGCAACATAAGCTGACTTTTAGTTAGCTTAAGGGCAGAACAGGTTCATACAAATAAAATTTCTTCAACGTGTGAAGAAATAAACTCTTAAGTTTTATAGAGCACACTAACACTCATTTTTACTCATATTTGTGGGAGCAGGGTAACAAATGAGACAAAGAAGCTTGTTCATCATCTGTTTAGGGTATTTTTATCATCTGGTGTGGAGCAGCGGGTCAAAGTACATTCCTACTGTTGTCATAAAAAGAACAATGTATTTCCTTGAATGAAACAAATCAATCAAAACAAAAGGACATTATGATTAAGACGCTGCGCTTAAGCTCTCCATATTATCATGGTGAAGGAACAAAGCAGCCTCACTGGGAGCACACCTGTTGTGCCATCTGAGCTCTCTTTCCTGAGTGTGTTTTCCTCCGTGTAGCACGCTGCTGCTGACCTTTTCCTCTCCGCTGTCGCGCCGAGAGCTGGCACATATTTGGCCTGTTCTGCCGGCGCTTCTCTGCMAGCTACAGAACGGGGTCAAGGGCGGCCTTTCCTTCTTCACAGACCACTTTTTCTCCATCTCATCCCCCGCGAGAGTCCGAAACAAGAATAGAGCGATGAACGTTTCTGGGACAGCGTGCTTTGGAGGAGTGTGTAAGTGTGTGGAGTTAGAAGTGAAATATATATATATATATATATATAAACTAATATATAACAGGATTACAGAAGTGTGGCCAGGACAAGTGCTGTGCAATGAACACAAATGTCATAAGTGTTTCCAAGCTAAGAGAGTGGAACTATTAATTAGAGATGTGTACCCAGGGGCTCAAAAGCCCACACTCAACAGGAAGTGATGTCATACGACTTATAAATAATCTTTTCCACAGCCTTGTTTGTCTAACAGACTAGAAGAAAAATCAGCCATAGACCAGCAATCACAACCCGTTTCTTCAGAGTCCGATAGTTTGATGGAATATTTCTTTATCCCTTAAGAACAGGGGGACATGTCCACCACCACGCGTCTCCAATCTGTTTGTCTGAAGACGTCCCACCTGGTCCAGACAGGAGAGGGAGCTTTAATTACTGACCTGTCAACAGAGACATGGCGCCACAGGTGGCCTCAAAGAACTGCACAGAGACGACAAGTGTGTTCTGGTCTCAGAGACGCGCTACAAGACCGAGATGTCCCAAAAAGTTGCAGAACAGCCTATTTCCTGAAATAGATTGGCATCTTTCCATTTCTAGTGTTTTTTTTTTAAACTGCTATCACCCCGAAAAATACCAGGCTCCCAACACAATTTCCATTTATAAAAAAACGGCTTTTTCCAGGATCAAATCTACAGATTTATAGTCAATTTAAGGTATATTTTCAACATCTAAGTTTTAACATTTACTATAGAAAATGTTTGCATGACAGCCAAGGTTTTATTAGCCTGGCCCTTGCCTAGTTCCTACGCAGCTCCGCTCTATTCTAGTTTCCATTCACTGCTCCGTCTGGGACTTCTCCCATTGACAAGGATTTCGCTGGCAGATTTTTAGCTGGGCCAATCAGAGAAGAGAACGTCAATTTTCTGCACAGTGTCTGCTTGTAGTTTATTTTACCTGGGCCACTCAGCAAACAGAAGGCGGAGTTTTGGATGACGTCGATGTTCTGTGCAGTGTCTGCTAGTTATTTTAGCATACGGCAGTGGAGGAAGTGAATGAAGCCAGTCCGTGTTGATAAGGCTTCCAGATTAAAATAAATTTGTCTGACAAAGCAGCAGCTCTCATTTATAGTCGTCTCGTTTGGCTCGGTATATTTCTCCTCTCAGTAGGGTTGTTTACAGCACATGCGATTTCCGGTTAGCTTCTTAGCTTAGCCTCCTTCCCAGCAACAACACATACTTGCTTGAGCAGAGGCCACGCCTCCTGCAAGAAATTGATTCTCTATGCAGCAAGTCCAGACCCTTGTACGAAGRAAAGTGAAGGACAGGGTCTGGTTTTAACCAGGCTAAGGTTTTATTATCCCAAAAGATGGCTTAATAAAATAAAGCCTAAACTAGGCTGGATTTAAGTGTGAAGGTCTTCTTTGTAAAATGTGATGTTTTGTTGAAATATATGCTACTTTCAGGTGTAAAATAAAAAGCTGCTTTTGATTTAGGATTTGAATAATAAACAAAATCAGTACAGTAATAGCAACGTTTAATAAATGGTTTGCACTTACGTAGCATCTGTTAAAATTTGTTTCACAAAGTGCTTTAAAACGTTTAAATGTTTTGCTTCCCCTAATGGCATGATGCATGGTTCCCGTGATACACGTGTGACATTACAGTGCATCAAATGTTATGTGTAGCCAACTAATGCGCACATGTAAGCTATGCTCTGAAGCGTGCAAGAGAGAGCCAGCGGGCATGCGAACTGGCATGTTGGGAGCTCTTTAAGCTATGTTGGCAACAAAAGCCAGAGGCCTGTGGCCCGTGGGTGTTAAAACCCAAGCTGGGTCAATTTTTCAACCTGACACTCCCGGTGATCTTCTCATTCTTTCGGCGCAGGACGCTGCTCTGATCGCACCCGTAAAACCAGATCATGTGCAGCAAATGACACACATGCAAGCCCACTTCCACAACGGGCAATAATAGCGCGTTGCACTCGGCACTGGCCTGGTTCTGATTCCCCTTCTGTCTCCTCCACGTGCCGAAGAAGAGAGGCGAGCTCAGCCAGTTTGTTGTTCATTTATATTTTATCCAGCTCCTATTTATAAACCACGTAGGTTTGAGTCAGGGTGGGCAAACCAAGAGCAGACTAACAGAGCCCATCGTATGTTTTGTTTTGTTTGTTTCATTTTGGTTTTGTTTAGCATGTGAACTCCAGAAGATCATTCAGGCTGCAGTAATTACAGGGGAACCGTGGTAACACAAGGCAGGCCACATATGGGTCTGAGAAGGAAACACAAACTCTTCTAAATGCAAAGCAAAAATGCATTTGCATGACTCCAACCTTTTTTAATCCTGGGGCGAAATGACAAGCAAGCAAAATAGCACTCAGAAACGCTCTGCCTTAAACATTATATTGTATCCACACAGGACGGCTCCATAAGTGACCCTTTATCTACACCCACCAGGGGGTCTTTGCTCAAGGAATTTTTTTTATTATCCCACTGACTCACACACTTGCAGAGGTTTTTCTGGCCATTTTACAGAAACAAATCGATGACCTTTAACTACTCTGGCCCACTTGTCTGATTTTAACGCAGACACAGCATTGGGAAGTGGGAGATCATTTTATATTGATTTATTTCATACATTTTAAAATTCCCCACGCAACCAGTGAGTCATTCGATTGTGTGCATATGTTTGTTTTTTTTAATTATAGTCTTACTTTCAGTGGTAGGAACAGATAAACTCTTTGCTGCACATCACCACTGGTTACAAATCAAGGAATGTCCTCCCAGAACAGCTGAACAACTTTGTTTAACAGCTGTTTTACTGGCAAACTGACCTACACAACATTTCCTGTGATAAGGAAACCATCTCTGAACTCAAATCACCACCGGTCCACAATGAAGTGATTTCGATTCAGAGCTCCATGACACAAACATCATTTCTAAACCACAACTGAACAACCACAGATGATCTGATTGTCTTATGTCGAGGTTTTATGAGGGGGATATTAGATTATTGTCTGCTCACAAACAAAACTTACACATAAATGACTCAACACAATAATTGTTTAAACAGACTGTGACTCAGACGTGTCTTTGATGTGTACACCTGATATAAATATAGATGAAGTAAAAGGCAAGGCAGCCACACCTTAACTATTTACTTCWGTCACAAAAGGCAAAAATAAAATGTATTTATGTATGTGCCCAGCTGTGACACAACATCAGCACTGTCAGAATACAGGAAAAAACAAATACTAATTCATTAAATTTAGTGTATGAAATCAATTTAATTAGTTTATTTAATGGTATAATTACTGTTCAGGTGACTAGTCTATTTTAATGGAATTTATTATTGTATTTTAGTTTATTTAGTGAGGTTAATTGAATGCTTTATTTAATCTAATGTCATGATGATGCGACTGGAATTGTTTGAATTTCCCACTGAGATAAATAAGAGTATCTGCTAGTTAAATACATGGTGATATGTAGCAGAAACACTTTTATTTATTAAACAGTAATAGAGCATCCTCGTGGATACAAAGTGTTAGCCCATTAGCATGTTGTCCTCCTTGACACTGATTGTTGGGGACACTAACCAAGCTAAAATTGCTCGTGTAATTTCCGCACTGGCCACGGCGATTCTGGGACAACAAAACACACACGCTTTTCTTTCTTTCTTTGGTTGTTTGTTTTGTAAAAATTTAATTTTGTGCATTTACCCTGAGTTCGTCCCTCTCAGCTTCCCAGCGGTATTTCTCGGCCTGGAAACGTCCCCATTCGAACTGGATGAAGTGCAGGATCCCTGGAAGCGTCATGCCCGAGGAGTCCCCGTCCTGTGCGTCTCGAGGCTGCAGCGACCCACCACCGGGGGCGGCCCCGACTGCTGCTGCTGCCGCTGCCGCCGCCGCTGCTGCGGCTGCTGCGGCTGCTGCTGCCATCGGACCGGTCGCGGGGGCTGTGGTCGTCTGGCCCGGTGCTGCTTTCGGCCCGTTTGGGTTGCGCCCCGCTCCGCTACCGCCGCAGCTGCTGCCGCCTCCGGAGTTCGGGTTTGGTCCTCCACCGGATCTGTCCGCCTCCATTTTAAACGTTCAACCTCTCGCCAGGATAAGGAGATGAAAACGGACAGAATGTAATAACGAAAAAAATAAAAAGTATATTTATATAATATTAAAAAAAGGCCCGGCCCCCCTTTCCAAACCTCTGTGTTCTTAACCAAAGCTGCCCTCTAATTTTCCTTTTCTCACACAGAGCAAAATTACTATTCACTCGGAAAATACTACACTTCCGCTTTAAAACCTTCAGAATAAAATACGATCTTCACGCAAAATTGAAACATGTTGACATTTTTTGTCACGAATTTGACTAATCTCACAAAACGTATGTTTTTCAATCAAAATAAATAAATAAACAACTGATTTAGTAGCATTCACGTGAAACAACTGTTAAACTTGTGTTTGCGACCTTTATTTTAATTGCCCTGATTCATTTCCTCTCKTCATGAACGCTTTTGAACATATCTCATTTGGACGAAAAATAGGACGGTGTTTTCCGTAATAAACAAAAAACATGTCACTTTTGTAGTTATTTCCTGCCATTTTGTGAGAACGGGTTACGAAAAAGGTCAATTTGCACAGCTATAACTCCGCTTCCGGTTTAACTTTTCAGAAAATTTATTTCAATTAAAATCTCGAACATCTTTGTTTTCTTTTCTCTGTGAAGAAAATAAATATATTACATTTGAATATAATGAGTCTCGAGCCTTTTCTTTTTTATATAGTAACAACTTTATGTTTATAAT